CTTGCTCGTTCAGAGCGTACCCTAGCGAGGGCTTTCTCTAGTCGTTCGATTTGGCCATCGCAGCGTGAAAGCTCGGAGGGCGCCTCCGCGATGATTTCGTGAAAGCAGGATGTCTCGGGTGGTACAGAATTGGAGCGTAGCTGCGTAAAACGTCGCGGAGCTGGTCTATCTGGGAGGGGCTGGGGAGGAGATGTGACCTCTTGAATGGACTTTCTCCACAATTACTGCACGCTACGCTGCCATTGCCACACAGTGGAAAGAGAATAAGAGACGTTCGGAATGATCCGGTCGGTCCTGCCTTTGTATCTTCCTTCAGCATCCACTATATGCTTGATGCTACTTCATAAATACGGTCTACGGGCAAATTGGTACACGTATCATACTAGCAGACAGAGGGAATTGAGATTGAGCCTATCCGATGAGACCCCAAGGTAGCGAGGTGGACCGAGCGGGCTAAGTAATGAGATAAGTATCTGTGACAAACGGACTACGTGGGGTTTGTCGGTGCAGAGAGTTGCAGGCATAACGTAAGGGTTAATTGTGAAGGAAGAAAGAAGAGACGGAAAGACGAAATGGAAGGAAGGAAGGCAGGAAGGCAAGGGGAATGGACGGGGTACGTCAAGAAGCAAAGGAATAAGGTCCCAAAGCGGTCGTGTACGGAGAGAAGGTGGAAGTACAAGGTGACGAAGGGGTCAGGCCAGTGCAAAAGTAAAAAAAAAAGAAGGCCGATTCGTGTTGCCGTGCCATCCGCGCGCCGGCAATTTTTCGTTCTTCTTCCTCCCCGCTGTGTGCACATGTCGTTGGCAGCGGGGCAAGCGGGGGAAGCTGCATTTCAGGTGTATATGTGTGGTGTGGGTGTGGAGGGAGTGGTGCTTCATCGTTCATGTTCCAGTTCGAGTGCCGAGCGGGGAGGGGAGAGGGAGCGAAAGAGAGACGGACAGGCTGAGGAAGTATCGGGGAACGAGCGCCTTGGGTGAGTTGGCTCGCTTGGGCGTGCAGCGAGCCGTTATTTCATGCGCATATGTGCGGACACAGTTTACGACGACACGGCGACGCCGCCTTCCACCGGCATCCTCTCCTGCTGCAGCACCTGCTTGACTTCCGGCGCGGACGCGCCTTCCGCCTCCGCCTGCGCGGCCCCACGTCAAAGCCCTTCGCACCGGTCCTTTCCGTAACTGATACGCAGGTTCGCGTACTCCGGCCGATCCTTGATCGCCTCCATCGCCTCGATGGCGTTCCGGATGTTCGTAAAGTTTACGAACGCGGCGTACCTGTATCGCACCGTCAGCGTTGGTCCTCGTCCTATGAGCAGAAGAGACTACTTACTTCTCCTTCAGATGCTGCACGCGCTCGATATCGCCAAACTGGCCAAAGTCGGCCATGAGGCGCTCCTCGCTGAAGAGCTCAAAGTCCTTCACCTTCCCGATGTACACGCTGCGCGTCGCACCTCCCTGGACGGCGCTCTCGAGCCTAAACGGCAGCGGGGTCGAGGGCTTGCCCCAGCCGACCTGGAGGCGGCGGTTGTTGAGCGTGAGGCCATGGGTGACCGACATCTGGAAGAAGCTAGAGGCCGCCGCAGCGTCGATGAAGGTGACAAACTGGAGGAGTATCAGCGGCGGACAGGGAGGGTGACGACGGAAGGATGATGAAGGAAAAGGAAAGGCGCGGGAAAGGTCACCACGGCAGTGAAATGTAGGGGATGGGTAGAGTGGGAGTGAAGCCGGGGGAGACGACGAATAGGAAGGTCGTGTAGGTGGAGACGGAACGGATGGGAGCGGGTGGAAAGGAACGGGAAGCAGAGTAGAGGGAGCTGAGGGTTGGGAAGGTGAGGAGCGGGGAAGCTCGCAGTGATGAGGCGAGGAACATGGATTAGCGAATGAGACGAAGGATGCGAGAAAGACGGTAACGAGGTGGCGAGCGAGAGAGAGAGTGTGGTGACAGGGAGAGGGAAGGGGTAAAAAGGCAGTGGACGAAGCAGTAGTAGAAATGAGGGAAGAGGCGGTGAAGAAGGACGATGGAAGACGGGTAGACAAGATGGCCAAAACAGAAGGAAAAAGCCACTCACAGCAATACCCTTATCTGGCTTGTACAACACGTTATGCAGTACGCCGCCACGGATCACATCGCACAGGTCCGCTGTGCTCGTCCCGGGGTGGATGTTACCGAGGAAGACGGTGCGGTTGCTGTGCGCGCCGGTGGACGAGGCGAAGGGCTCCATGAGGGACTGCGCAGTGGGAGCCTGCGGCTGGTGCGCGACAGCCTGCTGCGAATTGACGTGGGCGCAGCGGTCCGTGCCGTACGAGATGCGCTTGACACGCTTGCCCGCCCAGGTGGGGTCGCTTTGGAGCTTCTTCACCACCTACGCGAGGGGAGCGGAGTGTCAGTACGCGGAATGAAGGGGGGGAGAGGGAGAGGGAGGGAAGGGAAGGCACCTTGGTAGCGGCGCCGATGCTGAGAAAGTGCACGAAGCCGATGTTCTTGTCGCGCACGATCTTGACCTTGTCAATGGGTGCGAGCTTGCTCAGCTCGTCGTGCAGCGCCACCTCGGTGAGGCTCTCCTCCAAAGCGCCCAGGTACACGGTGCGGCTCGCGCCATACTGCGTGACCGCCTGATTTATTTCCGGGGGGACAGCGGATGGCCCCCCCCAGCCGATGGTGAGCCAATGCCCATGCAGCCTGAGTCTAGGCCGCCGCGCATCCGCGAAGAATTCGGTGGCCGTCGACGCTTCGAGGAATGCGAGGAAGATGCAGGCTTTCTCGGGGAGGAAGCTAATGCGCTCGATCGGACCGAAGTGGACGAGGTTGAGCAGATCTTCGACGGTAGCGGAGGGAGGGAGGTTTCCGACGCGGACGACGCGCAAAGTTGGGGTGGAGACCCATTTGGCTTGCCACCCTTCGGTGTGGAGACTGGAGAGGGAGGTGGGGTCGTTCTGCGTCGACGTGGATGGGGACGGGGATGGGATGGACGTCCCCCGAATCCGGGTGCTACTGAATGCACGAGAAGGACAGAACCATCCGGCTAGCGGTATTGTCCAGCCAGATGAGATTCTTTTTGCTGGGTGCAGATGTCGTGTAGCATAAGAAATGAGGTGCGAGTTGCGCAGAGTAATCATTTGACTTGGTGAGACCACGCGCCGTAGAAGAGCACCCAGTTAGCGTCTCATAAACGCTTCATTCGGCCACGGAGGACAGAGGCCAGAGAGAAAGGGTAGAAAGTGAGGAAGAAGGCACGGTCACGTAGCTTGTAAATACATGCAAACCGATCAACCTTCGCCCGATGCGTTCCCTTGACGCGCTTGTTGTCTACCCTGACCCGGCAATGATGAAGATTCTCGCGGAGACGTCCAGGCTTCATCTTGCTAGCCTCAACTCGACCGCGACTCCGTCTGTAGATCTGTCAGCTTTCAACGCTACCTGCTCGAGACTCGAGTAGTATAATATGTTGGAAGGTCTGCCCATTGCACGTGGGTTCCCTCGTTCGGATCGAGGTCAGGCTATTAGTAGTCTCTCCTAGACAGACGCTTCAACATACGCAGCTCGTACCTCGCTTGTTGAAGTCTGTTGGTTACGGACCAGGTTACCGCGGGGGTCCGAAGATCGGAGTTTGAATTTCGATACATTTCGGTTGCAAGCCGCCCAATCTCATGTTGGGCACTCAGAATACATGTGGAATAGTTCTTCTCTTTGTGGAAGGCTTCTAGGATTCTCTCCCCATTTTCCGTGCCCCGAATCTCGACTTTGTATGTTTTCCACCCGAGGTCACATGACATATTCAGTGATTTTCTCCCGCTCGTTTTATAAACTCTACTCGGATTCTGAAGAAGCAAAACAGCATACACTGGTCCCAAGGCTCGTACTGCACCAAAATTCCATGGAAAAACGCGGCTGGAATGGATCCAGCTCCGCCCTAGGAATTCAAACTCCGATGATTCGTAATAACGGCCTAACCTGATCGGACCCCCGCGGTAACAACAGGACTAGGCTATTGGTTAGCAGGAATTTTCTTTTGGAAAAAATGCTGAGCACCTGTCTAGATTCTGGGATAGGCAGGTACACTTTGAGGGATGTAAAGCTTGCTGGCGGATGGTCCGCACCCACATCCTATAATCTCAAAAGAGTATGCAAATGGGGTCCCTTGTTCAATTCGGGGTCAGGCTATAGGATAAGTGCGTGCATCTGTTTTTATCATTTGAAGAATGGATTTTGACTGCCTAGCTTGTGGGATGACCTAGTTCCTTGTAGAGGGATAGAAAACCTGGTGGCGGATGGTCCGCACCCACACCTCATAAACAGATCGCAAGTGAGAATGCAAGTGAGGGTTCCTCGTTCGAATCGGGGTCAGGCTCTGTGTTTGCTGCTCGGTACTTTTTTTTCAATTGAAAAATGAATCCTGACACCATAGATTGCGGGATCGCCAGGTACATTTCAAGGGTAGAAAAAACCTGGTGACAGATGGTCTGCGCCCACATCTAATTGATCATCTTGCATGTACAAGTGGGGTCCCTCGTTCGAATCGGGGCCAGGCTGTGCTTTGCTGCTTGGTACATGGTTTTTTTTACTTGAAAAATGAATCCTGGCACCGTAGATTGCGGGATAACCTAGTTCCTTGTAGAGGGATGTAAAGCCTGGTAGCGGATGATCCGCACCCACATCTCATATGTTATATTTAACCCAGCATGATTTAAGTGGGGGCTCCCTCGTTCGAATTGGGGACAGGCTAGGTTCAGCTCAAAAAATCAATTTTTGTTGATTTGATTGAGACAACAAGGCCGAGAAGACTCCCAGATACCCAAGAACAGTTCAGCCTGAAATAAAGCTTGGTGGCGGATGGTCCGCACCCACACCTAATAGCATTTGATGAAGCCGAAAATTGCAAGTGGGGTCCCTCGTTCGAATCGAGGTCAGGCTGTGAGTACTTGGCAGCGCATCTTTTTCTTTTGATAGATGAATTTAGACACCATGGACTGTAGGATAAGCAGGTACAGTTCTTAGGAAGAGAAAGCCTGGTGGCGGATGGTTTGCACCCACATCTAATAGACAAAGGTTGATATATGTAAGTGGGGGTTCCTCGTTCGAATCGGGGTCAGGCTATGGAGGTCTTCAAGGCTGTTTTGTTGGGGAGAAATACAAGATGTTGGTTACTATGTACTTGAATACATTTCTATACAATCAAGTAGGGATGTAAAGCCTGGTGGCGGATGGTCCGCACCCACAACCCGTAAAGAGAAAGTGATGGGGATGGTTATGCAAGTGAGGTTCCCTCGTTCGAATCGGGGTCAGGCTATTATTTGGGGCAATTTTTTTTTATTTGAAAAAAATGAATTTGGACACCGACAACCGTATAGTGTAGGATAAGCAGATATGTTTCAAAGATATAGCAAGCCTGGTGGCGGATGGTCTGCGCCCACACCTAATATCATTTGATGAAGCCGGAAAATACAAGTGGGGTCCCTTGTTCGAATCGGGGTCAGGCTGTGGTGAAAATCCATTGTATTTTTTCTCTCTTTTTTATGGCACTATTGTTGACCGCTAAAATTCATTTTGTGGATAGCCAGGTACAGTTTAGAGGTATAGAAAGCCTGGTGGCGGATGGTCCGCACCCACATCTAATGTCGATGTTGCGACGTGTAAGTGGGGTTCCCTCGTTCGAATTGGGGTCAGGCTATTATCTGGGATAATTCTTTTTTATCTGAAAAAATGAATTAATTTGGACACCGACGATCATATAGTGTAGGATAAGCAGGAACAATTTGGAGGTATAGAAGCTTGGTGGCGGATGGTCCGCACCCACATCTAATGGCGGGTCGGATATATGTTCACGTGGGTTCCCTCGTTCGAATCAGGGTCAGGCTATTATCCGGTACATCATTTTTTATTCGAAAAAAATGAATTTGGACACTAACGACCGTATAGTGTAGCATAAGCAGGAACAATTTGGAGGAATATAAAGCCTGGTGGCGGATGGTCCGCGCCCACACCTTATACCGTTGCAATGAGGTATGCAAGTGGGTTCCCTCGTTCAAATCGGGGTCAGGCTATGCTGAGCTCGAAAAATCAATTTTTGTTTGCTTGATTGAGACCACAAGGCGAAAAGACCCCAGATACCCAGGAACAGTTCAGAGTGAAATAAAGCCTGGTGGCGGATGGTCCGCACCCACATCTAATCAAGCGTTGGATATATATTCACGTGGGTTCCCTCGTTCAAATCGGGGTCAGGCTGTGTTCGGTTTGAAACATTGATTTTTGTTTGTTTGATTGAGACCACAAGGCGAAAAGACCCCCAGATACCCAGGAACAGTTCAGAGTGAGATAAAGCCTGGTGACAGATGGTCTGCACCCACATCTAATAAGTAGGGTCGAGATATGTAAGTGGGGTTCCCTCGTTCGAATCGGGCTCAGGCTATAGAGCTGGTAGAAACCAATTTTTTTCTTCTTGAAGACACTGGGTTGTTGACTGGTAAATCTGTTTTGTGAATAGCCAGTTACATTTCACAGGTAGAGAAAGCCTGATGGCAGATGTCCGCACCCACATCTAATTATTGATATTGCATGTGCAAGTAGGGTCCCTCGTTCGAATCGGGGTCAGGCTGTGCTGAGGTTGAAATATGAATTTTTGTTTTTTCAATGGAGACAACAAGGGAGAAGACTCCCAGATACCCAGGAACAGTTCAGAGTGAAATAAAGCCTGGTGGTGGATGGTCCGCACCCACACCTAATAGCATTTGATGAAGCCGAAAAATGCAAGTGGGCTCCCTCGTTCGAATCGGGGTCAGGCTGTGCTTGGTTTGAAACATTGATTTTTGCTTGTTTGATTGAGACAATAAGGCCGAGAAGACTCAGATACTCAGGAACAGTTCAGAGGTATAGAAAGCCTGGTGGCGGATGGTCCACACCCATCTTTGATAGGCAAATGATGCAGCCGAAAAATGCAAGTGGGGTCCCTCGTTCGAATCGGGGTCAGGCTATACTGAGCCCGAAATATCGCTTTTTGTTTGTTTGTTTGAGACAACAAGACCGAGAAGACTCCCAGATACCCAAGAACAGTTCAGAGTGAAATAAAGCCTGGTGGTGGATGGTCCGCACCCACATCTAATAGATAGGGTTGTGATGTGCAAGTGGGGTCCCTCGTTCGATTCAGGGTCAGGCTATTACCTGGGACACATCTTTTTTATTCGGAAAAAAATGAAATTGGACATCGACAACCATATAGTGTAGGATAAGCAGGAACAATTTGGAGGTATAGAAAGCCTGGTGGCGGATGGTCCCCACCCACATATAATAGAACAGTCGACATGTGTAAATGGGGGTCCCTCGTTCGAATCGGGGTCAGGCTATGGGCCGATATTGCGAATCTTTTTATTCAAAAATGAAAATGATCAACTGTCTACATTGGAGGATAGGCAGGTACACTTTGCAGGTATAGAAGCCTGGTGGCGGATGGTCCGCACCCACCTCTAATAGACAAATAAGGCGACCGGAAAATGCAAGTATCGGGGTCAGGCTATAGAACTTGCTGTAGCGCATCTTTTTTAATTGAAGAATGATTTTTGACTCTCTAGATTGCAGGTAAAGAAAGCCTGCTGGTGGATGGTCCACGCTCACATCTCATACATTGTGACAAATATGGCATGATTGAAGTGGGTGCCCTTGTTCAAATCAGGGCCGGGCCATACTGAGCTCGAAAAATCAATTTTTGTTTGTTTGATAGAGAGAACAAGGTCCCAGATACCCAGAAACAGTTCAGAGTGAAATGAAGCCTGGTGGCGGATGGTCCGCACCCACATCTAATGTCGGCGTTTGGATATACATTCTCGTGGGTTCCCTCGTTCGAATCGAGGTCTGGCTATGATCCAGCCATTCGTTGGCTACCATTTTTCTCCTCCGCCAAAAACGCCCGCCGGCGACTCAACAATCACGCGGTCCGTGATGGGACGCACATGGGCCCCGCGGAGGCCGCGATAAGCACTCGCCGTCCGCTGTGGGTCGGAGGTAAAAGACGGGGACCGAGAGGGTCAAACGACTACATAAAACGCGGAACAGGGGAGATGGGCGCTGATGGGGACCCGCGAGGAAGACCGAAGTGTGGAGATGACAGAAATGAAGTGGGGTGGGACGATACCCACAGTCGATCCATTGGAAGTGTCTAATAGGTGCAGGGTATGCAGGGTTTAGTAGAGGAAGGCTGGGGAGATAAGGCCACATGGTCCGTGCGCATCAGAAAAAGACGTGTGATGATGGAAGGGATGTGCGCTCTTTTCGTTATTGAGCCTTGACGTGTCTTGTAGGGCTTTTTCGTTCGTTGTTGTTCTCTTCCTTCTCCCTTTTGTGCGTGTCTTTTCTTGCACCCCACACTCGTTTCAAGGCGCCCCAACAACACACTCGCTACCTTTCGACGTTATTCTAACGTTTTCTTCCTGCTCCCTTCCTTCGTACCTACTTTTCATCCGATGGACGACTCCCAGGCCGCCTTTGCGCAGCCCTACCCGCCGTACTCGTTTGATATCGACATGATGAAGGTCGGTCTCAATATTCCCTTGTTGCTATGTGATACCGGTCTCACTCCTCTCCTCCTACCACAGCGCTCCATGGACCCTGCAGCCGGCCCCGACTCAAAAAAGGCCCGCTGGTCTCCCACCTCGGGTGCACCCGCGACCGGCACAGCGCCCGGCGGCTCCCCCCGCGATGTGTACGCAAACTACGGCTACGGCGGCCAAGCACAGGCCTCGTTCCAGCAGCAGGCACCCGCTCAGGGATTCAACGGCTCCCCGCTCTACTCTACCCCGCAGCTCTCCATAAACACACAGACGAACGGCGGCCAGCTCAGCCCCAACACCCTCGCCTCGTTCCAGCAGCAGCAGCAACAACAACAACAGCAGCAGCAGGCCCAGCAGCAGGCGCAGAGCCCCGTCGCAGGCTCGCCGTACACCCAGTTCAACCCCTACAACATGCTCGCCATGTCCTCCTTCCAGTACCCGCAGCAGAACTTCCAGGTCCGCTCAGATCTCTATCTCTGACGACAATCCACTAACTCTCCTCAAGGGCGGCCAATTCTCCCCACAGCGCCTGCCGACGCTCAACATCCCCGCCGCGCAAGCCGTCTACACCCCCTCGGCACTCTCGGGCCTCCTCTCCGCCGGCGCCTCCCCCACCGCGGGCCGCACCGTCTACATCGGCAACCTCCCCCCCAGCGCGTCCGTCGACGAGCTCCTCAACCTCGTGCACTTCGGCCCCCTCGAGTCCATCCGCGTCCTCCCCGAAAAGTCCTGCGTCTTCCTCTCCTTCCTCGACGCGCCCACCGCCGCCGCCTTCTTCGCCGACGCGACGCTCCGCAAGCTCACGCTCCACGCGCAGGAGCTCAAGGTCGGCTGGGGCAAGCCGAGCCCCGTCCCCGCGCAGGTCATGCAGGCCATCGCGCAGAGCGGCGCCAGCCGCAACGTCTACCTCGGCGGCCTCGAGGAGGGCCTCACGGAGGAGGCCCTGCGCGACGAGCTCAGCAAGTTCGGCCTCATCGACCAGGTCAAGATCGTGCGCGACAAGAACATCGGCTTCGTGCACTTCCTCAGCATCAGCGTCGCCACCAAGGTCCGTCCCTCCCCCCTCTTCCCTCCCGTCCGCACTAACCCCGCCCCCGATGCAGGTCGTGAACACGCTCCCGACGGACCCCGCGTGGGCCGGCAAGCGCGTCAACTACGGCAAGGACCGCTGCGCGTACGTGCCCAAGTCGCAGCAGGCCGCCGCGCACCAGGCCCAAGCCGCCGCCGCGCAGTCCCTCATGCAGTCCTTCGCCTCGCCGCTCAACACGCACGGCCCCTCCTTCGCGTCGCCGCTCAACACGCACGGGCCGAGCTTTGCGTCGCCCGCGTCCGCGCACCCCGGCGGCGGGAACGCGTTCCTCAGCAGCCCCGCGTCGGCGCACCCGAATAACGGCGGCGGGAACCCGATCCTGTCGGGGCAGGCGCTGCAGCAGCTTAACACGCAGGGCCTCGGGCCGAACTCGAACGGCAACGGCAACGGGCAGCAGAACGGGGGGCAGAACGGCAACGGACAGCAGAATGGGGGCGGGCAGGGGCAGGGGCAGCAGGGGAGCCCGAGCTCCTACGCGCCGTACACGCCGGCGCCGTTCAGCCCGGACGCGTTGAGCGCCATGATGGGGATGGGGATGTTTGGCGGGATGGGCGGGATAGGCGGTATGGGGGCGATGGGCATGGGCGGCATGGGCGGGATGGGCGGGGGGATGGGCGGGATGAGCCCCATGAGTCCTGTTGGGGGGATGGGGATGTTGGGCGGGATGGGTGCGTTTTTTGGCTTTTTTTTTTCTCTTCATCGCGCCCTCCTACTTCTCTTGTCACTTTTATTCCTCTTGTGCTTCTACCCGCGTTTTTCGAGCTCTTTGCCTTTGTCCTTTCTTTATTCCTACTTGTATACTTGTACTCCGCCCTTCTTCCCTCCCCGATCTATCTCCTCCTTCCCTCTACTTATCTTCACTCCCCGCATCCGCCCTCCGCCCTCCCCTCCTTCCCTCCCTCTCCGCCTCATTCGTCTCCCTCTTCGTCTCCCTCTTCGTCTCCCTCTTCGTCACCCTCTTCGTCTCCCCCTCTCCTCCTTCTATCGTCATCCGTACCTCCCTTCCCTGCTCCGTCCTATTCTTATCACTCCACCCATTGCTCGTTCCCTTTGGTACTTTCCCTCCATGACGCCTCCCTCTTTCGCATCCTCCCCCTTTCATTCGTCTCCCTACCGCCCCACTTCCCTCTCCCCTTTCGTCGTTCCTCCTTCTCGCCGTTTTGTCGCGTCGCTTCCTACTCTCCCCGTCATCCATCTTGCGCGGTCCTCACCCCCTCCCTTCTCCTTCCCCTCCGTCCGTCCCTTCTCCTTCCCCTCAGCTCCTCTTTCACTCCTCCTTAATCCGCCTTCCCTTCTCCGTACTTTCTCCCTGCGGCGTCGTCCTTCATTCTCTTCTTAATCCCTTCCTTCCCTTACTCCCCTACGCCCGCCTTCCCCTCCATCCCCTCTATACATCCCTACGTCGGCCCTTCTTTCCCGCTTCCTTGCCCTCCCTCTCTCCATTTCCTTTCCCTTACCCTCATATCCCCCCTACTTCGCCTTTGCATTCCTTTCCTCCCCTCCCCTCTCTCCTCCTCCTACCCTTGCTAACCACCCTATTTCTCTTCTCCAGGCCTCGGCATGGCCGGCGGCAACCGCACCGTCTACCTCGGCAACATCCACCCCGAGACGAGCACGGAGGACCTGTGCAACGCGATCCGCGGCGGCGTCCTGCAGAGCGTGAGGTATATGGCGGATAAGCATATTGCTGTGAGTTTTTTTTTTGCCTTCTATTTTGCGAGGGAGGGGCGGGGGCGAATATTCGTGGGGAGAGATGCCCCTTGATGGGCGAGGGCCCTTCGTGCGCTCGGCGGGGACATTCGTGCGACCTTGTGCGACCTTCTCGTTTACCGAGTGGAAGATTGCTTGCCTCATATCGCGTTCCCTTTCTACCCTCTCTTCCACATTTTACGCATACTTCTTCATTCGCCCTCCCTTCTTCTTTCATTCCGTTTTCTTCCCCGTCGTGGTCCACTTTTTTCACCACGCTCGCTCGTCGTCGTCGCTACGCTACGGATGACGGCGGGCATCCTATCCTTCTACCTTGTATCGCGTTCCCTTTCTTCCTCCTGTCGCTTCTCCTACTCCTCCCTCTTCACTGTGGGGCTGGCCGCTAATCTTCTCATCCTTTGTATCCTCTGCTCTGCTCCCGTTCCCTTTCTTCTACCCCTCCCCTACCGTCGCGACCCTCTTTTTACTTTACTGTTCCCTTGTTACCCTTGCGTCGTCATGTCCCTCATTCTATCCATCTCAACTCTCATAACGTCGACGCTGACATCTCTCCAGTTCATCACCTTCATCGACCCTGCGGCGGCCTTCACCTTCTTCCAGGTGTCGTCCTACCAGGGCCTCACGCTCAACAACCGCCGCCTTAAGGTCGGCTGGGGCAAGAACTCAGGCCCGCTGGCGCCGACGCTCGCGCTCGCAGTCCACGCCGGTGCAACGCGCAACGTGTACATCGGGAACGTGGAGGACTTTGAGGTCTTCAGCGAGGAGCGCCTCAAGGCCGACTTTGGCGAGTTTGGCGACATCGAGCTCGTGAACT